CTTTGTCTCTTTGTGTGTGGGTGCGTGTGTGTGTGCCAGCGATCGAACTCAGGTCCTTGCACTTTCAAGGTAGGCACCGGAACCACGGAGCTAAATCCCCAGCTCCAAGTCTTTGTCTTTGATTATGGTGTCTGTATCAAACGGAAGTCAATTTGGAGACCAAAACCACACAATGTGAACAGGGGAACACTGGACATAAATATGTACAGTAGTAGCTATAGCATGGACTGGAGTGACAGAGAGTATTATCTATATAATTTATAAGGAATAAAAAATTTGCAGAGCAGTAAAGAGAATTTTAAAGAACACAGGGATAGCAGCTGAAGGAAGCGGCCAGTCGTTACTGTCTCTCAAGCCAAATTCCAGGTCTCCTACCTTGGCTCTCTGCATGGTGACGTTTATGGTAGCTGCAAAATCTTAGAAGGTACCAGGGTATCCATCCATCGAGTGATTTCACATCAGTGCCATGACTTTGTGAAGTTATTCAAAGGTGTGTGGGTAAATCATGCCCAAAAAGCGCCACACCAATGGCGCAATGCTGCTAAGCTATGTGAGTTGCCAGAGCTGAGCCCTGTGGGTGACACAGAACTGGACAAGAAATTCCTCCAGCACCCTAGATTGCCAAAACATTGTGCAACCTAGCAAAGGAGAAATACTCTGGATCCATTGTCACAGAACAGGCAAGGACAGGAGGATTGAGACACAATGAACTGATAGTGGTCACAGTCCTCCTGCCTGGCTACTCAGCTTCCTCATGTGCCCTTCTACACACGGAAATTTCTTAATGAAACAGCTCCGCCCTTCCACCTAACCAGGCACAGCCACACTTCCTTGCAAATCAAGGCCTGTGGACTTGCCTTCATTGTTTTCATCGTTGGCCATGTTAATTACACTATTTCATCAAATATTGATGACCTAAAGATTAAACTGTAAATTTAACCTGGAAAGCAAAAATAAAGTGGTTAAAAGTTACAAAAAAAGCCAGGTATTGTGGCACACACCTGTAATCCCAGCACTTGGGCGGCTGAGGCAGGAGGATCGCTGTGAGTTGGAGACCAGCCTGGGCTACATAGTGAGTTCCAGGTCAGTTTCAACTACTTAATGAAACCCTGTCTCAAAAAACAAACAAACGAACAAAGAGTTACAAAGAAAATAGATACAAGAAGGAAATGGAAAATATTCAAAGCTTTCACAGTCCTTGCTTTTGTAAACCTATGCCCTCTTTCCACTACCTTTTTGGTATTCTTACCCCTTTGTCTAAAGCCTTAGCTGGTCAGGCTGCTCAAGCTGGTGGAGTGAGCCAAACATTCATTCAAAAGGTTCTGAGTCCTCCAATCGTCCTGGCTATTTTGGTTGATATGTGTTTTTTCATTAATCTTTACTCTTGGGTATGAGGTACGCGGGCACCCAGGGAACCCTCTGTGTTCCAGATGTAGTGCTTTTGTGTTCTGGCAGTATAGTCTCCCAGAGGCCATTAGGGTTGACCACTCCAGCTAGTAGAGCTACATGTGTTGCTGCATATTGGGTTAGTGACATGAGAGGTCCAGCGAGCAGGCTCATCCTAGATCTTACATCAGTGGAAGCATTACTGTGCCCCTGGTTGAAGCATCTCCTGGGAACGAAGACCTCCAGACCGGCTTATTCAAGATTGCTGGAATAAGAAGTATCATGCTATGAGGAACAACTCCCACTACCGCCCGGATTCTTGGGCCCATATACTGTGGTGCAGAGTGGGTGCTGTCCTCCTAGAACAGTATCTTTTAACTGTTGTCATCACCGATTCTTCAGTGAACCTCTGCATCTTCCGATCGGAGCAGCTGCTCCTTGGTGCCGGGGCACGTTGACTTCATAAGCACGAGCTCACCGCTGCACTTCCTTAGCTGTGATGCTGATTCCTTGCTTAAAATCAGTGCCATCGTAAATGCCCTGATGGTGGAAAAGGCATTCTGTCAATACATGGCTTCAGTGAGGCTGCAGGAGCTTGATAGGCAAGGAAGGCAATCCCTATCCAGATTGTGGAGCTATTCCAGTGAAGATGAACTTGGTCCTCTCTTGACGTCAGAGTCCAATATAACCCATCTTCCACAAGGGAGATGACTGTGGCCATGAGATCGGTACCATATGGCAGTCTTGGTGTTAGCCTCAGCTCTGAATGGATTAAGCACTTGGCAGTAGAACAGGTCAATTTTGGAGAAGGGGAAGTCTTTGTTGTCAGCCCATAAATAAGCTTTATCACTGCCACTGTGGCCACATTCATGGGTCTATTGAGCAAGTAGTGGTGTATCTGGGAAATGAAACTGTCTGATACCCTCAGCTCAGAGTATATTATCATCTTGACCGATAAGAGCCTTCTCTGCTATAAATGCCCTTTGGTTGACATTGACATAACGATCTGTGCCTGTTCTGAGGGTGCTGTCATAGTTACTTTCTTATTGCTGAAACAGAATGCCCAACACCCAAAGTTAAAGGAGGAAAGGTTTATTTTGGCTCAGAGTTTGTAGCGGTTTCAGTCCATAATCGGCTGGCTCCGAGGCAGGGTGGCCTGGCAGAGGGGCATCGCAGAGGAGAAACAGTTCATGGCAGGTGAGAGCAAGCAAGGGACCTACCTTACGAGCTTCTTTCTGCCCTTTTCTATTGTATCTAGGGTACTGGGACTAGGGTGGTACCAAACCAACCAGTGGATTGATTTAGTCCACTCACTTTAGTCCACTTTCGTGCCAGCATCACACACCCTAGATCCAGCCACCTCTGAAAAAGCCCCACCCATGATGGCATGGGGCTTTAGGGGCCATCTAGATGCAAGCTCTAATAGGGGCAACGAGTCCAGAAGTCCTGTCTTGGTGAGCCTGTCCTCAGGAAGCACTCTACTCTTGCTACCAATTCTGTATCAAGTGTGAGCCAGTCAAGAGACCAAAATCACACAATAATTCGAACAGGGAAATTTTAATATAAAGAATTATTAACTATAACGTGTCCAGCATAGCTAGGGGTTGTCTGATAAGTGATAAAGAAAACTCTAAAGAATATCAGGGTAGCAAATTAGGGAGCAGCTACTACCTTCCAGAGCTAGCTAAGATCCAGATGTCTTTGGAGAGGATGTCGCCAAGGCTTGCTGGAGGGCAGAGAAATTCACTGAGGTGGCAAGGCCACGGGAAGAGGCCCTGGAGGAGTGCTTCCTAAGAGGTGCCATGCTGCAGGCGTGAGACCGTGATGTTTCTGCATCACCGGAACCAGACCTCGCAGAAGCTGCCTGCACTCCAGGGGTGTGGGGCTACAGACGCTGTGCACAGTGCCTAGAATTGCATACTGGGACCTGGAGGATAAACCCCCTCGGCACCCTCTCCGGACACAGCTTTACAGCTTGCCAAGTGGCAAAGAGGAAACATTTGTAGGGACCAGATTAGGTCTTGCAGAACAGACAATGAAGGGTAAATGTGGAGCTGACATGTAATGAATTGCTAACTAGTATGGTATCGGCATGTTGCAGTTTCAGTTTTTTTGAGACAGGGTCTCACTTTGGAGTCCAGTCTTGCCTCACAATCATGGTGATTCTCCTGTTTTAGCCTACTAAATGCTGGGATTAGAGGCATTACCACCATGTCCAACTAAAGTGTTTTGTTTGTTTGAGACAGGGTCTCACTATGTAGTCGAGACTGACCTGGAACTCACTATGTAGCCCTGGCTGGTCTCAAACTCATAGCGATCCTCCTGCCTCAGCCTCCCGAGTGTTGGGATTACAGGCATGTACCACCACGGCTAGAGTTTTACTTTTGATAGCAGGTAATACTTTTCCTCTTGGGTCTTGTAGGTTTTTAAATATTTTGTTTCAGAAATAAATTTGCATATTTGTAAACAATTAGATCTTTATTCTCTTTAGGATTCATTAGTATAATTATTTAATTTACTCCAAAGAGACTCAAGCTTCTCCATAATTTGAAAACCCCCATAGAGAATGTATGTGCTAGTACTCTGTTACTATAGCAAATACTTGAAATAAGTCATCTTAGAAAGAAGAAAGCTTAATTTGGCCTCACAATTTTGGAGACTTCATTCCATTATAAATTGACCCCATTGCCTTTGGACCGACGTGGGACATTTTATCACGGGAGGAGTGTGTGGTGGAGGTAGTTGCTTACCTCATGGCAGACAGGAAGTGAAAGAGAGAGGAGAGCTGTGGTCCCAATATTCCCTTTCAGAGCACATTCCCAGTGACGTAACTTCCTGCCACGAGACCCCATCTTTTAAGGTTCCACTACTTCCCAATAGCACCAGTGGGCCTCTGGAGGACATTTAAGATCAAACTCTTGCCGTATGTAAACTTGTGTATGGGAAAATATTTCTCTGGTCTCTTCTGTTCTGTTCATCTATCTGATTATTGCTTTACCCAAGATAGGTCTTCATATCCGAACAATGATAAGAAAAACCTGGAGTGAGACTTTACTGAAGTCTGAGGATAGTTTTGACATTGTTAGGACAGGATGGTGCTCTTCAAGTGAAACAGTAAAATGCTTTGAAGTGTATTTGGATGAATCGCTATTCAGACACAGTAGTTTTTCACTTTTTCACAAACACAGCCTAGCATCAAGGCCTTCCGTCCTGACTCTCACACCTACTTAGTAACTCTAAAGCTCACCCGCAGAGGCTATGGGGTGACCGGTGGCAAGAAGCAGCTTGTAGCAATGCAAAGCAATGATTGTTTGAAAATCTGGGGCCAGGGCCGGGGATTTTTTTAAAAAAATTATTATTTTTATTTTTCTTGAGTTTATTGGTACATTCTAGGTAGACAGTACAGTTACACTCATTACTGGGATCTTGTACCTTTACATGACAGGTCTTGGTTCTCACCTGTTTTGTAACCACAAGGACCTGAGTTCGATCCCCAATACAAAAAAAAAAAAAAAAAAAAAAGGAGAAAATCTTGGGCCAAAAATCTACTTTATTTACCTAGGTCATTGAAGATGTAGTCATCTCACTCCCTCAGTACTATGTTCTAAATACCAATTACAAATTAGATAAGACAGTTAATGGAGTTTAGAGTTGTTTTTATTCACTTGAGTGCTCACAGAAATAAAACGTGCAAAAGAAAAGAACTATCTGTTGAGTCTGAATGGCACTCTGGGTGAAGCTGTTTGGACTTCAAAAGCTGGAAGTTGAACATTTTTTGCCACATGGGTTAGGAAAACTTCATCAATCCTTTTTTTGGTGTTTAATAGGCACCTGTAATATTAAATAGATATAGGGCTTTTTAAAAGAGCTGACAATTCGTATAGCATCATAGAAAGCCACTGTTATTAGTGAGACTAAAATCATTTGTTCAGTCTGAATTAGGTTTTTGGTGTGGCTTCTATATTTTGCCACTTGTTAAGAAGGGAACTGGTCAGAATTAATCCATCAATGGAAAGCCATTTCCTGATAAGCAAGAAGAGATTTTCGTGTTTGGAGCAACCCAAAAATTTCTTAATATTTTATCGATTGTGTTAGCACAATGCTGTTTTTTAGAAATGTGTTCTTACATTCCAGCCATGTATAAATTTCTCTTTAGTAAGTTTTTACCTGACTTATCTCATTTGCTTTGCTTCAGAAGTCAGACCTTAGATAAGTTTGGAGCAGTTCCAATTATTTCTGTGCCTCTGCTGCCCTCAGATTTTTTGCTTGGGGTTTCTACGTTGCCCTCAAGCTAATGGAATCACAAGACACTCTATTAAAGGGTTTATTTATTCTGTAGGGCAATGGCCAATGCCTTAGAGCATCACCCACCTAGGTCGCTCAGATGTGGTGGGTCTCCACTCATGCACTTAGCCACGTAGCAGCCTTTTCAGCCCTAGGTCATGATTACTAACACCTGCAGCATATTCAGAATTATCAGGCAGGAAATGGAAATGGACTGGATCTTGAAAGGCCTTGTGCCAGGTGTGGTGGTGCATGCCTGTCATCCCAGCACTCGGGAGGCTGAGGCAGGAGGATTGCTGTGAGTTCGAGACCAGCCTGGGCTGCATAGTGAGTCCCAGGTCAGTCTCAACTACATAGTGAGACCCTGTCTGGAAAAACCAAAAAAGAAAGAAAGAAAGAAAAAGGAGTTGAAAGGCCTTGTGGTTCCACACATACAAATGGAACTTTGCTTCCTTTTACAAAAGCCTTTGTCAGAAACAAGTAGATATATACAGCTGGCTCTCTGTATATGGGGCTGCATGTGTGAATTCAACTGGCTATGGATCAAAAAATATTTTAAAAGTATTGTACTTGCATTGAACATGGAGACTGTTTACTGTCATTGTTCTCTAAACAAATACAGAAAAACACATATTTTCATAGTATTTGTTAATATAGAGATGATTTAAATATATATGGGAGAGTGTATGTAGGTTGTATGCAAACAGGACTTTGTTTTATGTAAGAGTCTTGAGTATCCGTGTTACCCTAGGGTGCCCTGGAATCATTCCCTCTGGATACGAGAATGACTTCTAGAATTCACATTTCGGAGACAGATGAACGCACAGATTGGTGAGTCCAGCAAATGGAGAACATTAGTAACACGGCCCAGATTTGGTTAAGATCTCAAATGGGTGTCTTCCCAGCCTGTGTCTTCCCTCTCTTAACCACACATGTAGAAATAGTGCCATGAACTTCTGGGCCATTAACTAGACCATCAGTTTCAGAATTACACCCTCAGGATTTAGTTCAGTGGTGCCATTTCTGCCTTGCAAGCGCAAGGTTCTGAGTACCAAGTCAATCCCTGGTACCAGGAATCCCCAGGGTACCAGGGGGGCTGGGGATTTAGCTCAGTGGTTCTGCTGCCTGCCTTGTAAGCACAAGGTCCCGAGTTGGATCCCCAGTACCAAAAAAAAAACAAAAACCTTGAATAATCTTACATCTATTAAACTGAATTTATAGTTTAAAATCTTCTGTAATAAAATTCTAGGCCAAGATAGTTTCACTAGGGGAACTCCATGAATGAGGCCCTGTCTCAGAGTTACACCTTCAACCAACTTCTTACGATGGCATAATTTTCTTTGACAAAATGGTTACATCTTTTTCTGTTAATTTTTCTCAAGGCAAAAGGAGAAGAACTTTTTTTTTTTTTTTTTTTTTTAGGAGGAGGAGAAATTTATATAGAGAAAGATCGCTTCTGTCTAAGAGAGACAAGGGGAGATCAGAAAGTGGGTTGCCCCAAGAACTCTTAAATGTAGTGATTAAATATGTAAACCTCTAGAAGGGACTTAAAAGATACTGGAGCAAAGAATAACATACTTATTAAGGTAATATGGAGAAGGTAGTAAAAGAGAATGTCAATTTTTAAAAATATAAACTAAGCTGGGCTGTAATCCCAGCACTTGGGAGGCTGAGGCAGGAGGATTGCTGTGAGTTCGAGACCAGCCTGGACTACATAGTGAGTTCCAGGTCAGTCTCGACTACATAGTGAGACCCTGTTGCAAACCCTTCCCTGCAAAAACAAACAAACAAACAAACAAACAAAAAAAAACCCCACATACACACACACAACACAAAAACCACAAAAAACAAAACAAAATAAACAAAAAACCTAAAAGCTGGAATATTTTTTAAAAGTTCTTCAAATATGTGATAATATCTATTCCAAAAGCTTCCTTGGAGGATAATTTCTCTAGTTTAAAATAACTTCTGAAATTCTTTATTTCTACTCTTCAAGGAACTCAGATGAAAGATCTGATTGCTCACCAATTATTATAGATGATGTTTTAAAAAGAAAGAAATTTAGACATAAATCTCAGAAAGTGTTGATACTGGCTACCACACCAACTGATTGACTTGTGGTAGAGAAAGTGCTGTTGGACTTAACTATACCAACATGAGAGTTCTGTTATCCAGATCCAAAGTGTCTAGATAGATCTTGGTGTAAAATTTTTTGAACATGTTTGATTTAAATTTTTCAAATTTTCACACATAAAATCAAACTTATTATTACTTACAGTCTTTGGTCTTTGACTCCTTCCTGTTATTTTACTGCTCCTCAGATCAGTCTTTAAAAAGTGTTGGTGGGAGTATCTGGATGATGTGGGAGGGCAATTTAGGGATACAAGGCCTACAAAGTTAAAAGTGTTACAAGTTAGATCTCTGTGGCGAGGTGCAGGCATAGATTTAATTTATGAAATTTTAGAGCTGAAAACGGGGATCTAAATCGACTTCATCAATTTTGAGTGGAGCTGTCAAAACTTGGATGGAGCTGGGCATGGTGGCACATGCCTGTAATCCCAGTACTTTGGACGGCTGAGGCAGAGCTACAAGTCCGAGCCCAGCATGAGCAATTAGTTACTTAGACAGACCCTGCCTTCAAATAAAAAATATAAAAGGTTCTGAGGCTGTGGTTCCGTGCAAAGCCTGGGGTTCAATCCCCAGGGCCACAAAAACAAAAGCAAAAAATTCTTGGACGGAGTGTCTGGCCTGAGAGTCACATTTCCAAGTAGAAGAGGGGAGGGGAGAATTGGACTCCGGGAGCTGGAAGCGGAGAGACGGGGGGGGGGGGGGGATTCACTGCATTCCCAGGCTGAAGAGCAGCTCTGGGGTTTCTGGCTCAAGCCAGTGGATCTCTGGCTAAGGCCATTTGCTGAGACGGTGCCTCCTCCACCTCTAAAGCAGTCAGCCTGGAGGAGCAGAGAAAGGCAGGTTCTGTTCGACCTGTTGAACTCGTGAGCCGGAGACGCCGGCGTGGAGACATCCAGTAGTCATCGGGTACGTGAGCCTAGGGCTCAGAGGCGAGTCTCGAGCTGCAGGTATGGACTCGGCAAACGTTAGCTCCACGGGGACACAGACAATTAACATCCAGGAGCGATGTGAAAAGAAGAGGCTAGACAGAGGCCTCAGCAGCTCTGCTGTTTGCAGAAGTTAGTTACAAGGGAAGAACTGGAAAGAAGACTTAGAAGCAGTGGCCAGAGAGAAAGGAGGAAAATCACAAGGTGCAGGGCCATGGGACTTAAGGGGAGAGAGCAGGAGAGAAGGGTGTGGCCATCTGTTTCCAGCGCTGCGCAGGCAGGAAGGGAGGACTCTGTATCTAGAGAATCTTGGAAATCCCGGCATGAGCAGCTGCGATGAAGCAGCAGGGATAAAACTGATTGCTGGTGGCATGGTGAGGCGTACATGTGGCTCCCAAGTACGATTCTTCCTTTTGTTCTTTAATAATAGAACACCAAACTTTTTGTTAGACACAGTGTCCTGCAATCAAAGCCACATTTCCCCGTCTCCTTTGTGTGGTGTTTTGGCTAAGCGTTGGCCAGTAAGATATGTACAGAAATGCCGTACGTGACTTCCAGGAAGGAAGCGGTAGACTCGCGTCGTCTTCCTTCCCCCGGTCGCCTGGAAAGTTAGGCAGCCACCTTGGCCCGTGAGGTGGAAGAGCCACACACAGAACGGCACACTGTGAGAGAAATGTGGGTTCGGATGGTGCGCGGCCGCCGTAATAGCCAGCTAGATAGCCTACCTCTAGACTTTGTTAATCAGAAGTGACAGTCTCGTAAGGTTTAAGCCACTGTCACTCATTACTGTTTTTGTGTGAGTACAGGCAATTCTTTTAAGAAATTTTGTTGTTTGCAGTGTTGGGGCAGGAACCCAGGGCCTTGCGGACTCTTGGAAAGTTCTCTACCACTGAGCTACATACTCAGTACCCTTTTAAGAAGTTTGACTCTGAAGGGAAGGAGGAAGGCCAGTAGCAGGAGAAGAAACCTGTGGTGAAAGGAGGCTTTTAGTTTACAGTGGATTTTATGATTTTGGCACAGACACGATTAGAAGGATGCATGGATGGGAAATTCAAGTGTGTAGAAAGGAAGCAGGTAAAGAATATTTCAATTTCCCTGAGAAGGTAGGAGCAAATGAGATCTTGTCCACAGTGATTGGCCCCAAGGAGGGAAAGGGGGGCACTGTATTAGCCTGTTTTCTGTGGCTATGATGAATCGCCTGAGGTAGGGTCAACATCCAAGATGCTATGGTGGGGTGGAGGCTGGGGTCCAGTTGCTCCACACCCCACCTAGCGAGAGCCTCACTGCGGGGCACTCGAGGGAGGAAGAGATCACATCTGGAAACATGAAGCCAGGTTAGTCCTAGTGACCTAAATACCTCCAACTAGGCCCCATCCCTCAAAGTTTCTGCCGCCTCTCCACAGTCAGTCCCACACTAGAGACCAAGCACCCCACACATGAAACTTGGGGGACACACCCATGCCCCCTCTGCACCAGAGCAGGTACCTTTGCCATTTTCACAGGAAGGAGGGAGAAGCAGGTGACTTTCCACGCCGTGGGCTGAGATAAGAAATGGAGAGAGTGCCCACTGGATGGTTTTTAGTTCCCCTGACGCTGGAGATGAAGGGTTGGGGAGCTGTGTGAGGGCTGAAGAGACGAGAGAGATTTCAAATAGTTGCTGCAGAGGGGAGAGAGTGAGCTGATCCACCCTCAGCTCCTGGGAGAAATGGTGAGCTGGCCCACGGCAATCAGGTATCTTACTCCCTGGCTTCAGGGACTTGTTCAAAACTGGGCACTTCCGGCTGGGGATTTAGCTCAGTGGTTCCGCCACCTGCCTTGTAAGCGCAAGGACCCGAGTTCAATCTCCCGTACCAAAAAAACACAAACACCCCCCCAAAACACACACACACACACACACACACACACACACACACACACACCTGGGCACATGACCCATGCCGGCACCCATGCCAGCCCAGGGAGAGCCCAGTTCTTTCTAGCTGGCCCATGTCCACACCCACCCTGTCTTGCTGTGCTTGAGCACAGGATGGAAGCGTCAGACAGAGGTGGTAGAGTTCTCCTCTCACTGCCTCTCACTGCTCCACTCCGTTTCTGCTCTCAGCCTTCTCAGAGCCCAGGGATAGAGACAAAACAGTCCCCACACACAGCTCAAAGTTTGCTCAGGCTGCCTCGACTCAGTTCACCGCTGAACATTTTATAGTTTTGTGAGCCAGCTGACCTCATGTTTTCCATAGCATTTTGAGAGGAACTACTCTAGAACAAATTACAGTTTCTCAGGAATTGCACAATCCGGGGAAACCACATTAAAGCGAGGTAAAGAGAGCATCACCTTGACTGTGCCAGCGTTTGACAGGGAGACTGCTGTTGCTGCTAGGAAGGAGAGATGTGGAACTCTTCAAGATTCCAGCTGGCCCCAGCCGTGGCAGCTCATTACTGGAATCCCAACACTCAGGAGGCTGAGGCAGGAGAATCACTGAAGAGTTCAAGATCAGCTTTGGCTACACAGCGAGTTCAAGGCCCTCCTGGCCTACATACTGAGATCCCGTCTCAATTAAAAAAAAAAAATCCAGCTGGCCAACAGCCAAGGAGGAAGGAGTGGGACGGATGGCTGATGTTTACCTTTCATCGCTGCTCGTACAGTTGATGGCTATTGTATTAGGCACCAAAAAGACAGCTATGATGACCTATTCCTCTTGTGAGTCTCCCTGGGCGAAGTCGTCACAAACCCCTCTTCCAATGGCACAGGGGGACAGAGGGGGCTGAGGCCGGGGAGTAACTTCTCCTCCACTCTCTGGGAAGAGTCCCCCTGACATTCATGCCTCGTCCCCAGTGTGGGAAGGAGGGTTTATTGCCCGCCTTGTACCTCACTCCAGTTCTCCTTCATTTCTAAGCATCAGATAATGCATGGTTTCCTTAACCCTAGAACGAGCCTTTGAGATTGGCATTTTCACTTGACGGAGAGGCTAATGAACCTATCTAGGACACGGCCAGCAGTGACAGGATTCTGGCTTGTCTTCCTCCAAAGTGCAACCACTAGGCTACGCTACATAACAGGCACGGAGGGCCTCGGCTGATCCTATCAAAAGGCAAATCCTGAAGTTTGGTGGTAGTTCTGATAAGAGTTAGAGGAGAGCCAGGGATGTAGTCCTCATCTTACAGAAGAGGTAGCGAGGGGAGAATTTCAACTGCCATTTTCGTGTGATGCCCCCCAGCCCCCCACTAATGTGCTAAGCATCATAATGGACTTTACGAGTAACATCTGAGATGTGTGGCCCTCAGTGTCCAAGCGTCTAAGATGCTTCAAAGCCCAGGGAAGCACTCAGTGTTCTTTAAGGGGTGCGTATGCATTCCTGGGACCAGTTGTTATTATGGATCGAAACCTTTTGGAATAGATTTGAGTGCTCCACAGTAAGATAGAAAATTATGACTGTAAATTGGAATTAAGCATTATCCATTCATGGGCTCTTCATTCAGCAAACGTTGGGGAGGACCCATTCAGTGGCCCCGGCGTGTTACCTTTATTCACGGAGGCCTCGGTCTGTGCAGACCCCCGAGACTGGGTGATTTCGGAGACAGAGACAGGTGCGCTTACCACCTCGGGAGCTCATCAGGACAGATGGCTGCTCGGGGAGACTCAGGCGACTTTGCAGCTCTTCCACACGCTGGAAAGCGCCCAGCTTCATGCTGTGCTCCTGGGCAAGCTGGCTTCTCATCTGAGGGGAGAGGGGTTGGGAAGCAGAGATGCTCTGTGGGCTCCGTTTAGTTCCTGAAACTCACAGTGGAGCTTTGGGTTTCCCCAACAACACCAGGTCTTCACAGAGTCCTGGATAGGCTGAACTCAGGCCTAACCTTCTCCTAAGAATTAAGGGCTTCAGGAAGACCAGAATTTAATACCTAGTCAAAGAAACAAAAGCAACTCTTGGAATCCCTTGTCACATTATGAGAGCTGGGGCTTATTTACATATATATGTATACATTTGCACATATGTAAAATATATGTTTTATATATATATTTGGTGATACTAGGGATCGAACCCAGGGAACATCAAGCTAGATCTCCAGCTTTTTAATATTTTGAGACAGGGTCTCACTAAGTTGTCTAGGCTGTCACTGAATTTGCAATCCTTTTGCCTTAGCTTGTATATTTTTTATGCTTATTTTCCAGATGGGTAGAGGAATAGGAAATTTAGGGCTCCGTTCACACAGGATCAAGTCACAGAGTCTGCACAAAGGACCCGAGGAACCCCTGCACAGTTGATAGTGGAGGAAAGACTTGAGCCCAGACCACTATCTCAGCTTGGCATCTCTGGGGGGGTCCCTAGGCATCACTCCCTGGGCCGGGACAAGGCCAAGCCCAGGCATCAGGCTCTGGATTTCTTGGGACAGCTCTCCCTTTGCCCTTGACCCTGGTCACCCAGCCGGATAGCAGCTGGGTCCAAAGTGACTCCATCTGCAGAGATGACAGGTATTTCTTCTTTTTAAATTTATGATCTCCTAATTATCAAAAAAGGAATGCATATTAGATTGTGATGATCATGTTCCCTCAAGATTCATATCCTCCCAGAATGTGACTTTATTTGGAAATGGTATCTTTGCAGATACAATGAAGTTAGGATGAGGCCATACTAGTTTCAGAGTGAACCCTAAGTCCAGTACTATTTTTTAGAGCCAGGGTTTCACTAAATTGCCTGCGCTGGGCTTGAACTTGTGATCTTCTTTTCTCAGACTCCCAGAGTGCTTGGACTGTAGGTGTGCACCACCACGCTACCCCGACCGTTGTTTTTTTAAAGACACTGTTATGGCTTGTATCTAGACGTCCCCCCATCATGTGGTCATAGGTGAAGCTTTTTAGAGATGGCTGAATTTAGAGTGTGTGATGCTAAGATTAAGGATGTGCTGCTGGGATTGATTCATGGTGCGACTCAAGGACTAAGGGTGCCCCACCCTGGGTGTGAGTGTTACCCATCATAAGAGCAGGCAGCCTGGATAGAAAATAAGGGACAGAAAGAGGGCTGCTATTCTCATGGCTTGTTGCTTGCTACTTTGCTGCTTAGCTGTCTTCTGCCCACCATGAACTGTTTCTCCTCTGCGATGCCCCTCTGCCAGGCCATCCTGCCTGGGAGCCGGCTGACTATGGACTGCAACCTATAAACAGTGAGCCACAGCAAACCTTTCCTCCTTTAACTTTGGTGTTGGGTATTTTGTCTCAGGGATGAGAAAGCAATTAAGACAGATACAGAGGAGCACATCATGTGACAATGAGGAGAAATGGGAATGACATAACTACAAGTCAAGGAATGCCGAACGAAGGGTGTTGGCCAGCACTAGTGGCCAAGAAGAAAACATGGGCCAGTGTTCCCCAGAGCTTCTCTAAGGAACCAATCTTACCAATACCTCAAGTTTAGACTTCTGGTCTCCTGAAGAGTGGTAAAATAAATTTCTATTTTTTTAAACCATCCAAATTGTGGTAATTTATTATGGCAACCATTGGAAACTAATACACATGCTCATTTTGAAAATTCAGGCACATATGTTTTAAACCACTGTGCTGTGTAGACTTTACCAGATGGCCCTGCACACTGGCAGCTGTGGCCACAAGCTGTCCTACAGTGTTAGGGGACTGTGTGGGCTGTGTGTGTGGGAACTCCCACATGAAGTGTAAATTTTAGTAGGTCATCAGAGTCCAGAATTAGGAAAATTTCCTAATACTGGCTAGGTCCCACATTCTTCCCCCCCGCACATTCTTCTATGTACCCTAGGTGTTGGGGTAGGATCCTCATTCTCCATGGGTAAGAGCTAGGGGGAAATGTTATCAAGATTTCTTGAACCAGACCAGGAATAAGTAAATTTGAGAAATACTAGCAGAGGAAAGAAACATGCTTAGTAAGGACAGATCTTGGGGTAGCTTCCTCCACCCCCACTTCCGGAGGTAGAGGCAGTGACTTGGCCAAGATTACTCCAGAGTCAAGTTTGAGTCTAAGCCTCCCTACCTGTTTCTGAGGCTTCTCTGCCTTCGTGGTCTTGATGAAATATAAACATTTATTGAGAGCTGTGTATCAGGCCCTGCAGCAAGTGCTTTATTTGAGTTTTCTAATATAATCTTCCCCCAAATGCCATGAAGAATATTATCTCCATTGTACCAATGAGGAAACCAAAGCATAGAGAAGCCACAGACGGTGCCCAAAGCAACACAGTTGGAGGGCTGGGAGGGCTGATCCAGGCAAGAGTCTGACTCCACCCCATCTCCAGGTGCAGGAGGCAGGTGAGGAGCTTGGTGCTTGGCCAGGTGAGTCGTTACCACCCACTGCAGCCGAGGCTTGAGAAGGGTAAAGAAGCCACTGGGTGCAGGGCTCTTATTGGCCAAGGGTTGATTGCAGTTTGGGGTGGGGTGGCCCAAGGCACATGGGCTGTCGGGAGAGCTGGAGAGGGAGTTTAAAGGGGCCCAAAGGTGTATATATATATAAATATATATATTTATATATATATGCACACACACATATATATATACATACACATATATATATACACATTAAAGGGGCCCAAAGGTATATATATATATATCATATATATATACACACACACATGTATCTATTGAAAGAAATCTGAAAAGATTTGACTACTTCTAGAATCTTTGCCATTAAAACAATAAGTAACTATTAACCAGAGAGAACTTTGGAGAACCTAATCTATGAACTTATTGTTGCGATGGCTTTTAGAAAAGCATAACTTATAGGACAAACAGGGGATATCAGATTTTTTTTTAATGTTTGGTCATATTTTAGTGTATTTTTAATGAAATAAATGTAAAATTCTAATTTTCTCTTATTCTAAAGCTACTTGTTTCCTCTCTCCATTTCTACATAAGGGTTGCCTTTAGCATTCCCCCAATTCAGTTGTTTTTTTGTTTTTGTTTTTTTTTTGAGACAGGGTCTCACTATGTAGTTGAGACTGACCTGGAACTCACTATGTGGGCCAGGCTGGTCTCGAACTCACAGCGATCCTCCTGCCTCAGCCTCCTGAGTACATGGATTACAGGTATGAGCCACCACGTCTGGCTTCCCTCAATTCAGTTTTAACCATAGAATTGTCCTTATTTATCTTCTTTGAGCACTTGAAACCCTTAGCTAATAATTTAATTTTCTAATTACCTTTCTGTGTCCTACTCTGGCTGGTGAAGGACCTACAAGCTTTACTCAGCCAGTGGGTATAAGTGAAGTACCTTCTCTGTAATGCACAGTTCCTTTTTTTGCTTTTTTATTGAATTACATTCTGTTGGTCTGCTTTCTTGGGACTGGGATTCACTCATGTCTGCGTTGTAATAGTCCTTTTTTCTTTTTAACCTTGTGGTATATTTTTAACAAGAATATATTTGTGTCTGCAAGCCATTTTTGTCTTTCATTTTTGTCTGCATTTCGGGAAATGTAAATAAAATCCTCCTGTAATAGCCTGCACAATACTCGCTGCCTAGGACCCTCTACAGGATCCCGGTTCAAAGATGAGAGCTGAGGGAAGGACATTTTCGTGTGTGTCTCAGGGTCCGAGCGGTCGGCCCAGTGTGGTGCACAAGTGACCATTTTCGGGTGTGCCTAAAAGTGAGGGAGATGGGGCGCTGCTGTGGAGGACAGGACTGCCCGGGGAGAGCGGGACGGTACCGGGGCAGGGGGGCCCACCTGGCGGACTTCCCTCTCCAGCTTCCTCCGCTGCAGGTGGCCCAGCTTGGAGGCCCGCTGTGCCTCTTCAGTCAGGAGCTGGAGCTGCTGTTCTTTTTGCCGCACATCTCCCAAGAGCCTCTCCATGCTGGAGGTTTTCATGACATCCAGCTGCTGCCGCGTGAGGGCCTCCTGGGTTGCTCTGCGTTCTGACTCCTGCAGCAGCTGAGCCTGCGGCAGGAAAGGGCCAAAGGCAGACAGGAAAGGAGCAGACTCTCCCCAGGGCAGTAGCAGGTTCCCTCAGGGGTGACAACCTGGCTATTCTGGCTTGTGTCAGCCGGCAGCAGGGGCACAGGACCTCGCCTGGCCTGATGTTTAGACTGTGAGACTCAGGCTCTCAAGTAAACTGAACGAACAAGTAAACAAACAGTAACGAAAACAAGGTAAGTGACGACACCATTATATGAGGCCAATAACAATTATTCCTATTTGTATGGTGACTTTACAAGTTCCCAAGTACTTTATATAACCAACTCATCTGAAGCTACTCAGGGAGGAATTAAGGCACAAAAGGCAGATTATGTTTCATGTTGTAAATAAACACTGCTTTCCTGGGCTGATATTTAAACTCAGCCGTGCTGACTACGCTCTAGGACAAACGTGGGGTGTCAACTTATTTTTAAGGGTTTGGTCATATGCAGCGTATTCTTCATGAAATGAATGAGTCTAAACCTAGACTGTCCTGCTTCGCTCATGCCAGGGGGCTGGCACCACTGAAAAGCTCAAGTGTAACGCCCCTTATCACGGTGCCAGCTTCCACCGTGCAGTTTCACTTCTGAAAGGAAGACAGTGTAGCTCACTGGAAAGGACCGGGGACCCTCCGCTTGGGACCCCACACTGGAGCCCGACACACCCCCTGGGCATGGAGAGACTGCTTGGACCACGAGAGGCCATACTCAAAGAAACCTAGATCCTGGGCCGAGGATTCAGCTCAGTGGAGCTGCTGCTTTTTTTTTTTTTTTTTTGGTTTTTTGAGACAGGGTCTCGCTATGTAGTTGAGACTGACCTGGAACTCACTATGTAGGCCAGGCTGGTCTCAAACTCACAGTGATCCTCCTGCCTCAGCCTCCCGAGTGCTGGGATTACAGGCGTGCACCACCACGCCCAGCTCTTTCAATGTTTGGTTTTCTATATATATATTTTTTGTTTTGTTTTTTGTTTGATACCAGGGATCAAACTCAGGACCTTGCACTTGCAAGGAAGGCGGCAGAACCACTAAGCTAAATCCCCAGCCCCTGCTGCCTGTCTTGTAAGCACAAGGTCCCAAGTTGGATTCCTGGTACCAAAAAAAAAAAGGATGTAGATCCTGAGATAAGCTTTGATACTTATGAGTAATATTTTCACATCATAGCCAAATCCAAGTAAGAATAAAGCCCTGATGGACACCGGCCTTGGTTTCTGGGCTGGAAAGGAGGGAGAAGAGGGTGGCCAAGGGCAGAGACATCTTTCCTGGATGTACCATCGGCCTGGCTTCACACTGTGCAGGCCTGGTGGCTGCTTTGACAGCCTCGGTGCCGGGTGTGTGGCCCTGAGGCTGTATCCCAGGAGAGGGAGGAGGAGGTCCTGAGGTGGGGGTACCTGCTTGTCCTGCTGCTTCCACAGCCTTGCGTTGTCAGCCTGAGCCCTGGCCAGGGCCTGCCTGAGAGCCAGCAGCTGCTGACGAAATAAACCTGCTTCTTGTTCTGCCATTAGCTTGATGCGCAAACATTCTTTTTTACTTTGAATAGATTCCTGTAAGCATCCCAAACACAGTAAGGTAGGAGATTAAATTTACTTTCCATATTTTTAGTTTCACAATCAATATCTAAACCACTTAGGGCGGGGAATTTAGCTCAGTGGTCTCTTGCTTGCCTTGCCAAGTTCAAGGTCCTGAGTTCAATCCCCGGTACCACAAACAAAAACAAAAACAAACCCCCCCCAAAAAACATCTAAACCACTTCACCCTCCATCTGTCCTCCTTTAAAACTCCTGGTGGAACAGATCTCTGGTTGGTCACTGTTTTGGTGACTTTAATGAGCAATAGCACAATGATTCAGAGTAAAGACTTTTAGAAACAGTACACGGAAATTTCCAAACCTTTATCAATATGTGCTTTGGTTTCAGTTTGCCTAAGTAACCCAAGTGCTTGGGTAATATCTCCTCTGCATCTTTTCACTTCCCTTGTGCTCCATTCTCTGCTCTATTCTTCCTTGGAGTTTTAGCTGTGGCTGCACCTGGGCAGCAGCTGCAGTCGGGGGACTCAGGAGCATCCCTGGGGGCTGCTGGCCACCTGCCCAGGTGCACTCACCTTCTCTGCCCTGCTCAGCTGGCCACGGAAGCGAGCCTGCTGCACAGCCAGCCTCCAGTGGCCCAGGTTCCTCACTTTGCACAGCAGGGTGGTCAGGTGGCTGATGTCCTGCTCCAGGGCCTGAAGCTGCTCCTGCCAGCAAGGCTCACTTTCAGAGAAGCCTCCCTCCAACACTTGTCCCTGAGGAAGGGAAGAGTCCCAACATCAGGCTGCAGTGCCTCTATGTTTACTTACTTTTTATTTTGATTTTTTTTGCAGCTGGACCCAGGGCCTTGTGCATGCTGGGCAAGTGCTAAATCCCCAGGCTCTAATTTTTTTGAGACAGGGTTTCTCTATAGTCCAGACTGGCCTTGAATTTGTGATCCTCCTGCCTCAGCTTCCCAAGCTGAGATTACAGGCATGAACCACTGTACCCCTCTACCAGTAAAATGTGTTCTCAGGGAAGCCAGACTGGCATGTTAACAGTGAACAGGGGAGAAAATGCTTGGATGAAATGCTTAATAAAATCACGTACTTTGGTTGAGTTTTCTTTTAGCCCTTTGTCAGGTCCGGCAGAGCCCCATTTTTTCTTCAGCACTTGCATATTGGCAATCCCTTCTGTTCTGACTTCCCTGATGAGCTCACACACATTCTGGATCAAATTAAATTGATTTTCATCCAGCTTGTCCTGCAAATTGCAAGCTCAGGTCAAGGTGGCAGGAAGGACAAGTGGAGAAAGAGCTATTTTGCCTTTTAAAATCTAACTTTTGGAAGTGATTTCACACTAGAATATCCACCCAGACAATTTCTCCACCATGGATTACATGAAGGTCACACTCACGGTCCGTGAGCATCGCCTGTAATCCACATGGCTCTGCACATGCTCGAGTGCCTTGCTCGTCACTTCCAAGGCAATGTGAGCCAGGAGGGCAGTGGGGAGGGCAGCGGGAAGGCACAGCTAGAAAACCTGCTGCCCATATCGCCCCAGGGAGGGTTACGGGGACAGTCGAACTGAGGAGTTTTGCTGCCAGATTGACTCAGAGTAGAATCTGACCACAGAGGACCATAGCTGGGCTACTACCAAGGAACTCCATTAAATATGGAAAAATAGAGGAAAAAATCAGGCTGGTTGCTTTCCTTTTATAGGCTCCAGCAAAAACCACATTGGAAATATTCTTTTCAAAGCAACTTATGGCTAATGGCTTATGGTAAAATAGCACGATGAAAGCTAAGTCTAGCTTTGGACAGGGCCATGTACTCAATAGTGTCTCCTTGCATAATTTGCATGCTGAAACCCTAACCCCAAAGTGACAGTGTCCAGGCAGATAAGATCTTGAGGAAGTTATCAAGGTTAAGATGAGGCCACAGGATGGGTCCCTATTCTCCCTTCCAAGTACTAACCAGGCCCAACCCTGCTTAGCTTCTGAGATCAAATGAGATGGAGCGCATTCAGGGTGGTAATGGTCATAGGCATGGGTCTCTATTCTGATAAGACTGTGGCCTCACGAGAAGAAAGTAATCTTTTTTTCTCTCTCTCTCTCTCTCTCTTTCTCTGCCTTGTGAGGACACAGGGAAAAGGAAGTCAAAAGAAGAGAAGAAAGTAATCTTTTTTTTTCTCTCTCTCTCTCTCTCTCTTTCTCTGCCTTGTGAGGACACAGGGAAAAGGAAGTCACCCGCAAACCAGAAAAAGCTCATGGTGATTTGGGATTTCCAGCATCTAGAATTTTGAGAAAATGAATCTTTGTTGTTGAAGCGGAATTCCTATTGTTTCTGTTGTTTTTAAATGGCAGCTCGAGCAGATTTAGACACCCAGAGGCCTAGTGGTGAGAAGTAGGGGTAAGAGTATCCTCTTACTTCTGAGCTACTTCCCCCGACAAGAAGGCAAGATAGTGGTGCCCAGCTTGGAATTGAGGCAGGAGGCCTGGCTGTTGGGCACACAGCAGAAGTGTCGCCATCTCCTTGGAATTCTGGAGTAGAGTAGGCATTCCCTGCTCTGGGAAGTTTGGTGGAACTATTTTAGCCTGGGAGAAGTAGAGTCCATTTAAAAAATATTATTGTCTAGCTATCTGGCAGAAGCTAAAAGCAATCTGAGAAAATTCCCAATAATCTCTGAAACATCTGAAAGACTGCTTAACAAATTCCTGCTTCACTGTCTATTCATCCCTCTTTGGTGGCACTAGGCACAATACCTTCTGCTTTTTATCTTTTAAGCTCTTGTATTTTACAAATAAGGGGAAATCTCTCATCCTGTCTGGAATAAGCAGGCCAAGGTAGAGTATTCCTGGGATTGTCTGTTAACATAATGCTAGAGACCCCCTCTAGAACCCCAGAGAGAGAGAGAGAGAGAGAAATAATAAATGCAGGGAAGGGGTGGAGTTGGAGAAAATGATGGACTTGGGGGGCTGCTGAAATTTATCCTTGTAGGGCAGATGGATCAGGCTCCTGGATGGCCCGTTTTAGGCATGGGCCATCTATCTTACAGCTGTTTGGACACAGAAAGTGTCCACATGGAAAATGGCCAGTTACAGCCAGAAAGTGAGTGGCTGTAGATATGAGGGTACCCCACGCTCCTCTCCTGGGGTGGCTCTTTGGTGACAGGTCAGCAGCTCCCTGACACAGGATGTAGAGAAAGGCTGGTGGGCATACTGAGGGCTGGAAAAGTCTCTGAAAGCTGATTCCAGGTCTGCTATGACTAGCGAGGTCCCAGGAGGCGACTATTACTCTCTCCACTGGAGTCCGGCTGGGCCCAGGGCACTGTGCTTGCCCATCTGGGTAGCGTGTTTCAGTAGGAAGAGTGCTGCTGGTGGACCCTGGTGAGGATTCAGAGCAGGGAGCACTCCTGCTTATAAGATATATGTTAATATAATTGTGTAATTTACAACATACATTAATATATTATTTATTAATATAACCATTATACTATTATATTGGATATATATTAGGTTTTAAGCCTGCTTCTTTTTAGAGTCTGATGTAAGTACTTTTTTTAAAAAATAAATTTTATTTTATCCTATTCCTCCCTCAAGTCTCCTCCCCTCCCTTGTACAAAAGCTTTGTTTCTATTTTTCCCTTCTGTTCTCATTTTTTTCTTGTCCCTTCCTTTCCCCCTCCCTCCTCCCTTGTTCCCCTTCCCATGTGAACACTTTCTTCCCATTTCCCAACATCCATTATACATCAATCAGTCCTTATTTCCACACTCAGTTTCTCGCACCAGAGAAACTGTATTTAAACATCTTGTAATTATAGACAGCTAAATTAGTTAAAATATTATAGGCATTCAGACAGGGCTGGGCCTTTGAAAGAGTCAGTGCAGAAGATAAGAACATATTACAACTGGGGCTGGAGGTGCATTTGTTGAAGGTCACGTTTCAAGATCAGGAGAAATAACCACACCCACACACTTCCCCTAGTGATGAACAGCGATTGATATTCTAAGTAGGCATCATTCACCTTGGGTGAGGGAGGGAAACCTCCCTACCTGATTCCTTCCAGGGAAAGTTCTGGATCAGTTCATGTAAAATTGCTGTGTGACTGGCTTCCCCATTCAAGCCCCCTTTTATTGATAAAAGTGACTATACTTATAATCAAATCTTATTGGTTGACCATGGTTTTGTCCCACCTTATACCCACCCTGTGATTTGCCATTGGATCAATGTTACTTTATTGGATCAATGTTCATCTTATTGGTTGACTGTAGTTTTGTCCCACCTCGTACACCACCTCACATCCTGGTTTTGCTCTGGTAAAACTCCCTTGAGAAGTGGGGTCTGCAGGCAACCCACTTTCCTGGTCCCCCTTCTGTCTCTCTTAGACAGAAACTTTCTTTCTCTCAATAAATACTTCCTACTCTTAACCTCCATTGTTCCTAGAATTTATTCTTTGATTTTAGAGAACACGAACCCGGCATATGAGGCATCTAGCAGTTTGGGAGTTATAATATTTCCCTTATATTATTTGGAGGTCCGTATAATCACCCCTATATCAGTAACACACCCAGATGGCAACAACAGCAACTGGCAGGAGAAGCTTGAAAAATAAACATCTAAATTATCCTAAATCACCTAAGGGAGACTAAGGATAATCTTTTTCTCTTTTTTCTTCTTCTCCTTCTGTGTCTCTGTCTCTTTCTCTTTGTCTGTTTCTGTCTCTATCTCTCCCCCACCCAAGTGAAACTTACAGCTGGAAAACTCTTGGTCCAGCGAATCTCTAGTGACCACACAGTCCATTCTGTCACTGAACCTTTGGTGCAGCCATAGAGCTACCTAGAGAACAAACACAGGGCTAAATCCCCAGCCCCAGGACACTTACTTTTATGTGCAAACAGGTCATAAACAAAGCTTGGACTAATGCTTCATATTCTTCTTGGACTTCTTTTCTAATCTGCATTTTGAGGTTCAGATTCTCCTCTTCTAAATCGGTGAGTTGGGCTCTCAGACCAGTGAGTTCCATGATCATATCATGGCTGAGCTCAGCAACCTAGGGTTACGGACAGCTGAGTTAGAGGTACTACCGAGTGGGCTGGGCCCCTAGGAAGTCACTGCAGAGCGGAGGATAAATCACGACTGTGGCTAGGGGCACACCTGAAGATGATTAATGTCACGGCCAGATTTACATACTTCCCTAAGGGATGAACAAACAGAAGCTCGAGATCATTGGTATCACCCTTTTGAGGTTTCCCATGTAAATAACCCATTAGGGGTTCATTAGGGGTGGGCCATCCTCTCCCACCCACTGAGACTAAGACTAAAGACAAGACCAAGACTGTAGCTTATCCACAAAGATAATGATGTCATCCATATGCCCTTGCTACTATTCAATCAATATTAGCTAAGTGGGTACACTTGTAACCTTTTTTTTTAAGAAAAAAATACTTGTAATCTTATTGGTTGGTTATAATTTGACCCACGATGTACCCACCCCTTGTGACATTGCTCTCTCTATAAAACTTTGTCAGAGAAGTGGGCTCCTTGGCAACCCATTCAGGACCCTTCCTGTCTCTCAGGAGCTATTCCTGTTCCCCATTACATTTTCCTATTCTTAACCTCCACTGTTCTTTAGAATTCATTCTCTGACTGCAGGGAACACAAGCTCAGCGTATCTGACATCTAGCAGGGTTGGGAGTTACGTGTTTTCTCCTATATCACTAGTATTCACACAGTGTATAAATCCATATATATTTCCAAACTGCTACTGAACAAATAGTTCCTTATAGGTTAGTATAAAAATTCCTCTTCTATGGGCCAGGGATGTAGCTCAGTGGCACCGTGCCTGTCTGGCAAGCACACACTCCTGAGTCTCTGGTCACACACACACACACACACGCTGCACTTCTATTTGAATCTAATGAAGAAGATAAATATCTGGCTGTGCACAGAGAATCTCAGATTGCTTCAAAGGTCGCACTGCAGGACCAGACACACAGGAGATCGTCGTGCTCCGTAGGTAGTCACTGAGTAAATGACCCCCGAGGAACTACTGCTTACGCACTTCCCAGTTGGAGGAAACACTTCGCCTGCCTCGACCTCTATCTCCACACTGGCCTTCCTTTGATATCTTCACCCATCCACCTTATGTTTGGAATGAACTTTAACTGGCCTCCGAAGAAAACAGACAGTACCCTCAACAACAGCAACACGCCTCACCCAATACAAAATTTCAAAACAGTGCCCCCAGCAAAAAGAAAAAAGAAAGGAACAGAAACAGAAAAAGAAAAACGGCTCCTAAGGAGGCTTGCCTACACAGTGAAAGCATGCTCCTTGGGTAGTACGGACTTCCTGGACAGGTGACTCAAGCAAATGACACTCTGAAGTCCCACCCTGGCTGACTGAGTGGAAGTGAGGAGGTGCAAGGGAACCTTTGCAGGAACTGACCTACCTGAGCAGCGGGGTCTTCGGGTGGAACTGGACTTTTTTGCAACACATCCAATTCCTGAGAAGGGAAAACCAATGCACTGCCAAATTCAGACATTTACTCCTTCAGCCAGTTCAGTACAACACCCTCCTGACACCTGCCATTCCTCAGTGGAGCTGCATTTTGAGACCCTCTGGTTGGTGAGATTGGCCCATGCAACACTCTGAAGAGAGCGTTTCCTGAGAGATTCCAACCTCATGCCTACATTGAGAATAGCGCAAGGTGCTTTGGGTCTCATAAGGGAGGAAAGGTCAGTGATGCACCTTCCCCAAGGGGCCCGGCCCATTTGTGGGTCACCGCTTGTTTTCCCCAATAGATACCGCCAAAGTACACAACCCAGGGGTGTCAGGATGGCTGAGTGGTCTCAGGCGCCAGACTCAAAGACTCAACCCAGTGTTGCTGGGGCCACCATGACTGCAGCTCTGGATACCAGACAGAGACCAAGAACCTGAGCTAAGGAAAGAAATCTGGCGAGCACTATGCCCCTCAGTTCAGGGCCCAGAGCCACCCCACCTGGTCCCCTCTCCCCCATCTCAGCTTTACTTTCTCTTCTGCTTGATCCTGGGCCTCCCCCGTACCCTTCCTTACTGCACGCTCCCTGGGCACCTACCTGCTCCCTCTGGCGCAGCCTCTGCCTCGTGTGCTGCAGCACATGCTCGTAACACGTGGAGTAAGTCTCAAAGTTGCTGTGCTCTCGCGCCATCACGTCACAGCCCAGGGAGAGCAGGCAGGCCTCGAGGTGGTCTTTCCTGAAAGTAATCTGAAAGGCAGGGCATCATTCGCAGCAGCTCTGGCAGGGACCCTGGCGGTCTCCTCACACCAGGGCTCAGGGCACATGTGGCCTTGACTCACAGACGTCTTTCCTTTCCCATCTGCACCAAAACGATAGCTCTGGACCCAAGAACCTGTGCTCTGAACACGCACAGGCCCAGCTTCAAGAGGACAAATGGAAGGCTGGGGATTTAGATCAGTGGCCCCGCCACCTGCCTCGCAAGCTCAAGGTCTCAAGTTCAATCCCTGGATCCCCCCCCCAAAAAAAGATGACAAACGGAGGCTAGCCTATCCTTTGTTAAATGTTTAAAGGTTCCATGTCAAATCACAGACTATTAAATTGCAATGTTTAATTAAAATGCAATGTTTCAAGGTCCTCTCTGACCTTGAAAGACAGATCTGGAAGACTGAACTTATTATTTACAGACTACTCTAAGTTCTATTCTGAACGGTGGTCATCTGGGGAGAGCTGTTCTAACCCAGAGTTTGCAGTGTGATCCCTTTCTGTTCCCATCTCTGTTGGCCTCACAGCATATTGCGAGGGTCCTCCTATGCATAAAAATAAAAGATATGTACTCATTGGAAGGCGTGTGTGTATGTGTGCGTGTTTCTGGAGATTGAACCCAGAGCCTTTGCACTAAGCTCTTTCCTTAGCCTCTCTCTCTCTTTCTCTCACTCTGTCTCTCTCCTTCTTTCTGTCTCTCTTCTTTCCCTCCCTCCCTCCCTCCCTTCCTTTCTTTTCCTGGTACCAGGGATCGTACGCAGGACTTTGTGCTTTCTAGGCAGGCATGGCACCACTGAGCTACATCTCTGAACATTTCTTTTTCTTCTGAGACACAGATTCTTGCTAAGTTTCTCAGGCTGGCATCAAACGTGTGATTCTCTTGCCTTAGTCTGCCAGGATGCTGGGATTATAAGTGTGTACCACCACGCCTGGGTTACTTTTTAAAAGGCATCCTTTATATCCGCTTGGCAGGATGCAATCAGAATGGGCAATGGAATCCATGGAAACCTCTGTTCCTATAGGATTGAATGAACAGCAGCCAGGCAGCTGGGGACAGGAGCCCAGCTTTTCTCTTTTTTTCTCCAAGGCCCTCTTCAGGGCCACTTCAGTCCCCCAGATGCTTCCGGTCCTCACCCAGACCCTGGAAAGTGAGCACCAGGACAGCCCTCATTAGCTGTTGACATAAAGCAAAGGGAAATGGTACGGTGGCCTACACCTGTGATCCAAGGACTCAGGAGAAGGCTGAAATTGGAGCATCACAAGTTGGAGGCCAACCTAGGCAACACAGCAGGAGTCCAGCTCAAACAAAATAAAACAATAAACAAACACAAAGCATAGGGAACTCCAGGTTCTCTCTCTTGGACCCTGACTTCTTTGTGGTAGAAAGGCTTAGCGATGACAAGGGAAATTCCCAGCCTGAATTTGGTGAAAGCCCAAAGCTATGAGAAGTCAGAAGACCACTTCTGAGTCTAGCCAGGTGTGGCCAGGGGCCTTATCTGGGCCGGTGCTTGGAGGCAGCCACAGTGACTCACCCTGTACTGTCCTGGGCACCAGTGCCTTGTCATGGATGTGCCAACAGGGCTCTTGGCAATCATGTCATTTGGCAATAATGCCACTATTGCGCTGTAGATATAGATGGCAGAATTGAATCACAGTGGCTGTCTGCCATCCTCTCCTAGCCAACATGATGTTTTGCCTCGCGGGGAGGACAGACTTGCTAGGTGAGTCTGTATAATACCACACCGGCAGGACCGGCAAGGACTCCTCAACTTGGGCAACTCCAGGGTCCAGTCAAGCTGTGTTGCTTTCTTTTCTCAGTTGCTGTGCTAAAGCCCAGGGGTTGGGCGAAATGATCAGCTGAAGATGGCCCAGAGAGAGTGAGTCTGAGGGGAGGGAGGTGGTGCAGGAGCAGGCAGGGCCCCTGCAGGGGACATGAATCAGGACGTGTGTTCTAGGTGGGGCAGGCTGCCCACCGATCAGGTGAACTTCATCCTGCAGACCATGTACCTGGCCTTCCAGAGACAGCACCTAGAGCCCCTGCATCAAGAGCTGCTGGGATGTTGCCTCAGTGGCTTCTGTGGGCGTAACCCTGTGAGCTCTACAACTTACCCTGCCTCGCTGGGTCACTATGAACGTAACCTCTGCGTGTGTCACAGCGTGGACTTCATCTGCCTACTTTCCCTCAGGGTGTGCAAGAGCCACAGAGTCAGTCCACCAGCCCAGTTCTGCCCAGGAAGTAGCACCGCCCTCTCTGGGTTGATTCTGTCAGCAGAATTTAGATCTGAGGCATGATGGATGGTGCGAGTGGAGGAGCACTAACTTGTCCCAGAGATTTTTCTAGACAGCCAGTCTGGGCATGGCAGGTGCCAGGCTGGATTACAGAAAGAGTCTGGTCCTGTACCCTGTTGGGAGGACACGGGAGTCCTGTGGTTTGCTTCCTCTTAGAAGCCCTTGTAACAAGGTATTTTGAGGCTGTTTCTGCCAACAAGATGGTCCAGTGGCTTTCCATTCACTCTAGGATCGGGGGATGTTGCCCAAGGGTTGTACACGAGGCCACCGGCACCTACCCCGCCCACCTTCCCGTGTCCTCTGAACTCTGACGTACTCCTTCCCAGATTGCGCTGCCTTCCCTCCTCCGCCTTTGTCTGTCTGGCCAACTCCTACGTGTGCTTCAAGATGTGGTCCTTTTCTGACTTCTAGCTGGGCTTTTCCGTTCTTTGAGCTCAGGTGGTATCCTGGGCATCCTCCTCCGGACCTGCTGTTCACCTAACTGACCATAAGCTCTTCCAGGGCAGGGGCTACACTTTCTTCCTTTAAGTCTCTAAAGAAATTGCCTGGGAGAAAAAGAGGACATTGATAAACGCTTGCTGAATGAATGAATAACCCTTGGCATACAAATGAAAAATGACCCCCTCTGGAACCCACGGAATAGGCTATGAAGCGTTCTAATTTTTGAAAATGTCAGTTTCTTCAGTCCAGAGTATTTGGTATGAAATTTGGAGGAGACGTTACAACTGATAAGGAAAGTGTGGTTTTCTGAAATTCAGAGAAGAAAGCAAAGACCCCTAGAACACAACACAGGCTCAAGAAAAACTGGTGAGCATAATGGGATGGTGTGCCTGGCATTCAGCGGGACACAGAGCGGGCAGAGGGGGACAGCGGCCAGATGGCTCCTGGCCACCGAAAGACTATGTCCAAGGAACCCGGACAGCCTGGGGCCTGCCCCCTGTCCCCCGTGTTAATGACTCAAAGACCCCGAGGGCCGGCTGACGTAAAACTGAGAGAAAGAAAGGAGACTGGATGACACCAGTCCACAGGGTTAGAGGCCTCAAGACGTCCACCAAGTGCAGCAAATGGAAGAAACACAGAAGCACCCTACTGCCGAGCAGCAGCGTGTCCAAGCGCAAGCGTGGGTTACGGGTGAAGTTCGGGGCGTCAGCTGTGAGGAAGCTGCCCAAACCAATACCCTCACGGGCACCGATGCAAGCAACGCACCCAGGACAAGGCCAGTGTCTGTGGTCTGGACAACCTCGAGCCTACAGAAGACCGACCAGGACGGTGAGGGTGCACCTAAGGAAAGCTAGACGGAAATGGAGACGTCTCTGTCTGAAGCAGGGCGGAGCCTTGCAGCCTGTGCTGGGGGCAACCAGCTGAGGGGGCAGCCGGTGCCTGCCCCGCTTTCCAGTCTGTGTGTCCTGGCATGGAGCCCCACCGGCGGGAGGGAAGGGGAGCGATTTGTAATCCACCGCCGAGCCAGCACCTGCTTTGCTTTGCCCTTCCCGAGCGGGCCTCTGTTGCAACTTGCAGTCTTCACATCGGCTAGCAGCGGTTTTAACGAGCTCTCACTGAGCTGCCCAGACTTCTGGAGGCTTGTGGTTGGGGGTCCGTTCCCTGATCTCAGGGGTAGAGAATCTCTGGCACACATGCGTTTGGGAGGCCAAATCCCACTCCGTAGTGCTGCTAAAACACAGGGTGCCCAGGACGGGGGACAGGTGGGGAGTGAGTTCCCCGTCGCTGCAGCTGGTCCGGAGAGGCTGGAAGCCACAGGAACACACTTGGGATGGGGGCTCTGACACCGGCGGCCCCACACAAAGCTCCTCGAGGGTTTGCGCCCCTGCCCATGTCCGCGTTTCCCCCCACATGCTCTCATCCTCAGGGAGGGGTGAAGCTTACTAAGGGTGAGCAGAACTTGAGCCACAAGTTGTTTGTTTTTATTGTTTACTTTTAACATATAAATATCTCACATAAATTTTGCCCTTTTAACCATCTTCAGGTGTACAGCCCAGGGCATCAGGTACATTCACACAGCGAATCTCCGCCTTCCACCTCTAGGACTCTTTTCAGGCCGCAAAGCTGAATCTCCGAGCCCACTAAACAGCACCTCCCTGTCCCTCTCCTCTCCCCTGCCCCTGGAACCCACCTCGTTACTTGTGGTCTGTATGAGCTTGACTACGCTAGTGGGAACAGTAAGTGTTCCCGCGAGTCTGGCAGGACGTCCTCCGAGCTTATCTATGTTGTGGCATGTGCTCAGAGCTTCCTACCTCTTCAAGGTGAGCCAGAATACGTATTTCTTGATCCCAACATTTTCCTGAGCGCGCCCTGCCCTGCTCAGCTCGGCTCTGTACCCTGAGGATGGAACCACCTCACCGCCCTAGCAGAGTACCCAGTATCATGTTTGTGTACAACTGAAAGCTAAACGAATACATGGAAATCATCAAGTTCTGACGAAAAATGTATCTCCGATCAAGATTATGAATTTTCTACTTCATAACTAAGAACTGAAGCTGGACACGGTGGTGCACTCCTATAATCCCAGTACTCAAGAGGCTGAGGCAGGAGAATCACTGCAAATTAGAGGCCACCCTGGGCTACATAGTGAGGCCAGCCTGAACTTCATGGTAAGACCCTGTCTCAAAGAAAAAATAAAATAAAATTAAGAACGCAAGTGTTTACCATAAAATGATGGAGAACAGTTCCAAAAACTTAGAAAAATGTAAATTTGGAGAAAATACTATTTTTAAAAATTGAGCACATTTTGTTTGAAAAATGGTTTAATTTTCATGATTCATATCAACCCAAGGAATTTATTAATAGCATTAAAACCCTATTACGTCCAAATATCCACATTGACTCTCTTATCCTACCTTTGCATTGGATTCCTTTGATTTAGGAAAGTATTTCTTGCCAAGAATAAAAATGTTTCAAAATTCCAAGAATTGTGTATACGCAGGTGTATCAAAAGAATATTGTAAAATAGAAGAAAATATAAAATTGCTATGGATTTAAATATCTTTCTAGAGGGATACACACACACACACACACACACACACACACACACACATTATTGATGCAGATTTCTTTGTGGAGAGTAGACTGGGCCTGATGGAGGAAGGGTAAAAATGTTACCTTTCTGTATGTTGGCTTTTTTTGTGTGTGTGACATGTTTTGAAAATTTTTGTTTTGTTTCATTTTGTTTTTTGTTTTTTGAGATAGCGACTCACTCTGTGGTTCAGGCTAGCCCTGAACTCCCTGGGTAGCCCAGGCTGGCCTCCCCCCTCTCGGCAATTCTCCAGCCTCGGCCACCCAAGTGCTGGGATTACAGGTGTGCGCCACCGTGCCCGACTTGAAAATGTTTTCTCATTAGTGATATTATAGTTTTTTGGTTTAAATTTTAAATACTAAGAAATCAACACCAGAACTATGCAAGAAATTAACTCATTCACAAACAGGTTACTTTAAAAACCTGACCAAATTTGGAATTTACCAACATGCAGTTTTTTTCTTTTAACGCAGATCTTTATACACAGCCATCTTTTTTTCTGATGTTAAAATGATAATACATGATCAGTATTTCGGATTCAGCCTTGGTATTTATTATATCATACTTAGGAAGCAAAGCATTAAGAGATGTATTAAGTGACAAAATCTTCCTTGTTGGGGTTATGTTAAAAAGAACAATGATTAATTTTCAGTACATACCTCTGATCCACAATCCTGCTGATGCTGCATTAATCTCTGTATAAATTTTTCAACTATTTGTGGCCTAGTAACTGCAAAGTTTTCTTTCATGACTTGGTGTTTCCAAAGATCTAGGGGGAAAAACATACCAACATTTGTAATGCAAAACACAGAGTATCATTCATGGCTATGAAATAGCAGTTCTCCCAGAGACGTTGGGCACAACAAGCCATGTTTCCAAATACACAGAGATCAGTGGGTGAGGCAGCTGGGTGGGAGTAATCGAGGTTTGGAAAGTCACCTCTCAAGTCCAGTGAACAATATTCTGTTACCATAACTAAAAGTCTCAAATGAAATGTTATTACTGACCACATGTGATGTCAACTGTCATTAATATCCCGTGTGTTTCTGAACACTTATCTTAGTCTAACAGGTCTAATACAAATAAATAAGAGAAATATCACTGATGTATACCAAGTGAGATGTGCACAGAGTTATTCAGAGTAACACTGTTCATTGTAGATGTTAAGAGCCACTCTGCATAAATTTCGGGGAAAAGTCATTTCACAATTTAAGTGTGACTATAGCTAAGGCCCGATGTCACCTCGCTGTGAGCCCAGCTATGGCTGAGGCCTCAGTTGTCCCCATGAAGCTGTGATGCTCAATGGCAAGATGACATCAGCTGACGATGTCCTGCTTCTTTGAGAACTGGGAAGAAAGAAAGAGAGAAAGAAAGAGAGAAAGAAAGAAAGAAAGAAAGAAAGAAAGAAAGAAAGAAAGAAAAGAAAAGAAAAGAAAAGAAAAGAAAAGAAAAGAAAAAAGAAAGAAGGAAAGAGCGAGCAAGGTTTCACCTGGGGAAGGACAAACTCTTATCAACTCAGTCCTCCTACCTACTACTGCATGATCACTCTCCTTACAGACCTCCTCAGTGTGAGACCCTCATGACCCAGGGCCTTGATCAGCGTAAGTTCCTTATTGTCCCAGGGTTACCACCTCCTAAGCCACCAGATGCTGCCTCCAACTGCTGTGTGTACCCAACAAAGGATGGCCAGCTCGGTGAGTCTGTCTGCCCACTCCGAGGCACTGACCTTATGGTCCTCTATAAACTTTGAAACTCCGCAAGTCTCTGTCTTTTTTTCTTTAGCCCTCGCCACCTCCCTTTGTAGGCAGTTGGAGGATCGATTGTCCTCTGAAAAGCAGAAGCTTGGAAACACAAGTGTCCACTGTCAAGGATGGAGCGACTTAAACTACAGTATATCTTCCCAGTGGAAAGATGCGGCATTCCCCCTATACTGATACGAAGAGAATGATTGTTAAAAACCCAACCACCATAATCTTTAAAGGGAAATGGTGCGGAACACTGGGGAAGCTCAATAGCAACCTGACTGGGTTGAGAGACTCCTGGAGAGGTGATTGGACCGAACTATTCTCACCAGTTGATCAAACTCACTATGTTCGTGGCTGAACGTGCCCTGAAGGAGCCGAGTTGGAGCTGGGTTCCTGGGAACACGCCTTTGGAGGGCTTGTCTTTCACTGGTGTTATGCCCTGTGCTCTGCTTTTCTGGATTGCAAGAGTTAAACTGCTGTGTAACAGCAGGCCCTTCTACCGAAATGCTTCTGCCCAAGAGCAAGCCTACTACAGAGTACACCCTCTGAAGCTGTGAGGCAAACCTCTCCTTCTTTAAGTTGTGTTAGAATTTGGTTCTAGCAACGAGAAGAAGCAAGACCAATGCAAGTGTTTATCAACTTTTACAAGAAAGAAATAATAAATACAGCAAAGGAGGAGGATATAGCCTCAAGGCTACTTGGGTTCACTGCTTGAGAAGTTGTCCTGTCTTTTTCCTGTGTCACCGGTTCTCTCTTCTTTCCTGGATCAGCGCATGTTATTTCTCCCATTTTATAGAAGTCCTTCTCTTGACCCCTGCTTCCATCAGATCGTGTTCTGTTCTTTTGCATCCCTTTGAAGCAAAATTTCCAGGAAGGGATGTTTACATGCAAACTGTCTTCAGCTGCCCTCAAATCCCAACTGCTTTTCACTTCTACCTGCCTCCCGAGGCTGACTGGTCACAAAGCCGGTGGTTTTCTCACAGCCTACACCAGTACTTGCCTACAGCAGCGTTTCACACAGTTTACTTCCTCTTGTGTGTTCGCTGGGCACTGGGATGCTACTCTACCCTGTTTTCCTTCTAACTCGCTGCTTGTTCCTTCTAGGTTTCTTTAGTATTCTCTTTTCCCCTCCTAAATGTCTCAGGGCCCAGCTCTAGGTCCAGCTTCTCCTTTTTATATACTCACCTCCTTGGCTAGCTCATCGTAGCTTCGTAGCTCCCTGCTAGGCCCTACACCTCTACCAAGGACTGTCTAATTTAGGTCCAATACCAACTTGGCATCGCTTCTCAAACTCTAAAAGGCATTTGAAATTTAATTTATGCATAATCAAATTCCCACTTTACCCACCCTAACTTGCTCCATCTGTAGGGTGTCCCATCCCAGAGGGCAGAAATTCTTTTTTCCCAACTGCTCAGGTAAACAAAATCTTAGAATCACGATAGGCCTCTTTCTCCCACTCCAAGTAGCACCCAGGCCATTAGTGCCCCCTTCAAAATACACCCAGAAAGTGACTGCTTCCTGTTGCCTCTACTGTCCTGTTTCACCTTTTCTTCTTTCACACACTGTCTTCAGCAGGGCATCCTGAAAGAGTCTATTAAGACATAAACCAGGCTGGGCATGGTGGCGCATGCCTGTCATCCCAACACTTGGGAGGCTGAGACAGGAGGATCGCTGTGAGCTCGAGACCAGCCTGGGCTACATAGTGAGTTCCAGGTCAGTCTCAACTATACAGTGAGACCCTGTCTCAAAAAACCAAAAAATCAAAAACAAAAACATAAACCAGATCCTGTCACTCTAATTTAGAGACAGGCTCCCTGCTACATTCAGAATAAACACCAGAGTCTTTGCAAGGCCTCGTATGATCTGCTCTCCTTGCCCCTCTCCCTTTGACTTTGTCTCCTGTCAGTCTTCCCTCACCCTCTGTGTTCCAGCCATACGTGTCTGTTGCTTGTTCTTAACTATGACAGGCACGCTCTGCTTGGGGCTTTTTTATGGGTTGCTCCTTCTGTCTGAAATGTTTTTCTCTCATATGCTCTGCTATGGTTTAGAGCTAGAATGTCCCACCAAAAGCTCACACATAGCCAGACGTGTAGGCACAGCCTTAACTCCCGCACTCAGGAGGCTGAGGCAGGAGGAGCACAGAAAATTTGAGGCCAGCCTGGGCTACGTAGTGAGTTCAAGGCCAGCCTAAACTACATAGTGATACCTTGTCTCAAAAAACAAACAAACAAACAACAACAACAACAAATGACACAGCCAGAGATTTAGCTCAGAGGTGCTGATGTTTACCTTGCAACTACAAGGTCCTGAGTTTGATTCCAGTACCAAAAAGAAAAATAAAAAAGGTATTTAAAAAACCAAACAACAAGAAATCAACACACGCACACGCGCACACACACACACACACACACACACACACACTCACGAGGACGAGTTCTTGTGTTCCTAAATTCACATTTAAGATGTTTAAGACTTACCAAGATATATCATGGAAAGGTACAAGTTCTCAATGATGAATGTAAATGTATTGCATACCTAAAATGTACCAATAAACTAATTTAAGAGAGGAAAAAAAGACATTTAAGACTTTAGTCTTAGTTTTGATGAGACAGAGCTCACATGCTTTTCAGACTAGAAGTTGGATAGATACCTTTTCCAGGGTACTATTACGGCAGGTCTCTGGTTCACCTCGAAGGCTGGTGAGGGACTCCACCTGTCACACACCTCAGTCTGGGGACTGTCACCTGGGAAATGCTCCTGAGCCAGTTTGGGGTTTAGTTCAAGGCTCAGCTGAAGGGGAAGTACTGTGTTTTACCCGATGCTGGGTGGGCTTCCCAGCACTGCCTTGGCTTGTGAGTTCAAGTTCAGACACATATCTGCATCTGAAGGCAAGGTGTCCAGGAAGCCAGGGAGAGTGGAATTCACCCAAGAAAAGTAGTTTCTGGCAAGGAGGAGTCAGCTGTCTCCAAATCTGTCTTATTCTCACTGTATGCACATGGTCATGGCTTTTTAAAGATGAAACAGGAGGTTTTGAAAGAAGCATGGAAGATGGACAGCACAGCAGGGGTTGAATTAGGATTTTGTTCTCCCGTCACTCTGTTCCCAAGTCCTTTCATTGAAGGAAACTGACTTCCTGCTGGCCAAACCACTTCCCCTGCCTCACTTTGAACAGCACACAGCCCAGCCTCCACCCTGAGGAAGAAGGGCTCAGCTTGATAACACTTCTCTCTCCTAACCAACTGCTCCACTGCAGCTGGGGGTTCCTGGGTCTGGACCCCAGGCGGAACTGAAACCAGAAGGCTCACAGCTGCCAGTGAAGGCCATTTTCCCAGTAAGCAGGGAGGTTGAAGAACTCACCATGCTAAATACGTGCCTGTGTCTCATACGCCTGTGTTTTCAAATTGTTCCTCAGAACACTATTTCCTTGAGGTAATAATATTTCCAAGAGGAAAGAAGAGTCCCATGGTCAAATAAATTTAACGATATTATATACTTTTTTCTTTCTTTTCTGGACACAGGTTGATAACAGACAATTGATAGTAAAGGTTCTGAAGTCTAGAGTAGAAGAAAAATTTGCAAAACATAATTCACCTTGAGTTTTCCAAACTTACTTTGACATAAAACAAGTAAACAAAAAATCCTTCTGAAAAAACACCCCCTGAGAAATACAGTAGAAATTCTCCTGCCTATTGTAATCAAGACTAAAAGAGTTGGGCATGTTGGTGCACTTGGGAGGCTGAGACAGAAGGATTGCCACAAGTTCGAGGCCAGCCTGGGCTACATAGTGAGTTCAAGGCCAACCTGAATTTCATAGGGAGACCTGTCTCAAGAAAAGGTGGTGGTGGGGAAACCAGGGATTTAGCTTAGTGGTGCCATGCCTGCCTCGAAAACTCAAGGTCCTGAGTTCAATTCCCAATACGGCAAAAAAAAAAAAAAAAAAAAAGAGGACTAAAAAATTGGCTAATCAAAGCAAAGAATGCTTCACAAGTAACATGTGATATCTACATTTTATTTAATTTGAAAA